AGCACTACACATAAATAGTAGGACACATGAACTTATTAATCATTAAAACATTCCAAGACAACTTATCAATTCAAACGAACACAGAGAACAACTCATGAACAGTAACATCATTGTCTAACATCGTAGGTAATTTACAAAGGTTTAAAAATGTGAGTATTCAATATCTTAAATTGCAATACAGTTTCGGAGGAAATTATATATAGCCCTAGCAAACGATATATACACCCAACTAAATGATAATATAGTGCTCTAATTAGTACTGTAAGTGAGTCCAATGGTACGTGTGCCTTGATTAAAAAGCATGGGCAATGTCATTGGCCTCCATAACATCATCCCACAGCCCTCGACCTCAGGATGGTGCCACAGTATCGTGTAATACCTCTGGCGAACCAATGCTAAGTTCCACAAGACTTTCACTGTCTCTATATTGTGACAAAGATCCCCCGTATAGTCTTAACATATTGTTGGGGCAAGTGCTGTTCGCGAGCACCTATAAAGGCCAGCACGGCACACGAGGGGGTGGGAGGCCATTGGCGATGTTTTTGCTCATTGCACCAGGTATTCGTTTGAGTCTATCTCAGGGAGGCCCAGGTCCAGTTAAAATAAAATAATCGTCAATGGTGTTGGCCGTGAGTGGGCATCGAACCAGGGTCGCCGGGTTCGCAGAGCAGCACGTTAACCAGTGAACACGGACACACACAGGCTAGTGACCGGTGATAAAATAAAAAAAATATACAGCGGGCTCTCGATTATCCACGCTGTCGTAGATAACTCAAAATCACGGATAATCCAAAAATATAACCATTTCCCCCAGATCTCGATGCCAAAAAGTCACGATCGATGCGTGTGCTCGGTGATGACACTTTCATGCTCTCGCGCAGACGACTCCAGCCACGAAGTGGATAGCAGAGCCACCCTAATCAACATCAAACTCCGCCCACTGCTGCAAAGATATGCTACTACTGCACTGTAGAGGCGACGACGTGGATTTAGGATGAAGTGGAGCACGTGTTTGTTTGGTTTAAGCACGTGACTCGTAAAAAAACATTCCCAAGAATAACAATGTATGACTGTTATTAGATTATTAATTTGGAATTAAGGAAAAATCCATGAGTTTTTCATTTATGTCAAAATCTCAGGTGTGCGGATAATCCGGAAATCAGATAAACCGCACGCGGATGATCGAGTCTACTTTACGTGGGGTGCAGCGGTGGCACCTTGAATCCTGACTTATATTTGATTTACAGCCACCGCTAACATCAGTGAAGAGTGATATCTTAACAAGTCCCGGGCCTCCCACTCACTCTCCTTTTCACCATCCTACACGGTACTGACATCGCCTATCATATTCTTAGGTTTTTTCGGTAAAGTCACGTAGGTAAAACGTTAAAATTAATAAAAGTAAAATAAAATCACTTGATACAGCTATCGTGCTGTGACGGTTCCACCTGAAGACGGAGGCTTGTGTTGCCTCCAAAACGTCGTGATTTTTATATTATTTTACTTTTATTAATTTTAATTTTTTACCTACGTGACTTTACCGAAAAAACCTAAGAATATGAATCCTTGCAGTCACGAAAGCTTCAAATCTAGAATCGCCTATCATAGTCAAAGCGTCCTCAAAACTGACACAGCATGGGGAGGCCTTCATTCAGCGGTGGATGTACAAAGGGTTGTGAATGATTGTTATGTCATGTTTATATAAGGTCTTGCATTGTTAGAGACACGGGAAATTGGCATGAGTGGTTCTCTGATGGATTAACCTGTCACCTATTCGCAATGGAGTATTACCACGAGCGTCGGTCTACACAATGTGAGATGAACATCTCCCCCAGGACCATATCAATGAGAAATCAATTTGACTTTTTTAAACTTGTACGTATGAATCAATGTGCTTTCACAACTTAAAATGACCCGATATACAAATTAGAGCAGCTGTGTATTGAATCTGTGCATTAATGTTCCAAACTTATTTTATACCTTCCATTCCACTAACATGTATCATCATGTATTTATATATAAACATTTGAATGACAGTCCGATTGTTAACCAGCATCAATCACTGGTAAACGCTTTTAAAGCGGACACAGCCTTTATTTGCCATATTGGCTACAGATCGCGTCGGGAGTTAAGCACAAATAATAGAGAACCTCGGGCACATTTTTAAACAATTTTTCGAGATAAAAAAAACACGCACAAGCATGGGTTATGCAATGCCCTGCCAACGTGCAATTTGTCTTGGGAAGTACTGAGCAGCTTGGAAGCTTAAGGATTGCTGTCAGAAAAAAAACACGTTTGCACATTTGCAAATACTCATTATAGCTTTAGTTTGTCCCAAAAGGTTTGGGCTAATCTTTAATCAACTCAACCTAACAGGCACACAACTTTATACCAAAGTGTAATTCAACATAGATCATCATTAGGAGAGTTACAGTGCTTATTTCCCATTCATAGACAGCCAGGCAGAACTAATGCATAAATGCCAGCAACCTTAAGGGTTCTAAAATAACTTGTTTGTAGTGGCTACTTCAGTATAAGAATATTAATTTATACTGGAGGAATCCAATGAGCTATAAAGCTCTTTTCAAGATGTCCAGTAGGAGCGGGTCAGATCATAACAACAAACTTTACAAAAACAAAGTATAGTAAAGGTAAGCAAATCACTATATATACACAAATGAAACTAAACTATTTTATTTACCACGTAAAGCCCACTGATCTATTAGCTTATTTTTCAGAAGCAAATTGACTGATTGTGCCTTAATATATAGTAGACCAGAGCTTGGGCAATTGTTGGTGTATCGTGAAGGTAATAAAATAACTTAATTGCCATGTTCACGATGGTCACTTTTTTTCATTTGGACATATCAACTCGGTCAAAAATGAGAGAACATGTTTTTAACCTTCAACCACATCTGTTTCACTTCCCATTCCTCATCAAGCGCATTATACGTGGAGCTATCAGTAGTGGTGTTGACTTTTTTTCATCATTCGCACATGGTACATACCTAAGGCATTAGCCAACGCACTCATGCCAGACCACTGCCAGAAAATGAGAAACGCCATAAGCCAAGCTACCCTCTACTTAACTGAGGAATTCAGGAATTTGATGCAAAAAAATATACACGTTCGCCACTAACTTAACGTCTAGTATTGGAGAATTAACGCAGAATAAGATATTTGGAACAGCTGCATTTCATTATAAAATTAGATCACTGTTTAAATTTCCCATTTGGTTGCTGAAGTGCAAGCAGTGCACGTACAACTTATTATACAGTACCGCTCATGTTCGAGCCCACATCAAATATTTATCTCGGTTTGGTGTCTATAATAAACACAAGGGTTCTTTAATGCAAACAATGAGGTATTGTGTTACCGTGGGATTTATTTGGCGAGTAGTTTTTTTGTTGGTCCAAACCATGAGCAATTGCCTTCCATATGCTGTCCAGACGCAAGAAACCAGCTAAAAATATCGAGTGCATATAATACATGTAACGTTTTAGAGCCTTATTATAACGGAACAAAAACAAATGGATAACAGCAGGTGGCCTTATGTTATAAAATACAGCTGAAGTTGCTTAAACATTCCACTCAGCTGCCCAATGCATGATTTATAAATAAGCAGAGCTGTGGTAAAATACTTCAAACATTGCATGTTGCCATCTCCTGAGGTATTTCTGATGGATTTTTGACTTTTTTTAATTTGAGGAAATAGGATCATTGTGGCTTGAGATTTGGTTTCAAGAGGCTGGGTGCCTTAAGGTGTGGGCACAGCCAATTTGCTAAATTAACTTTCATATTTTAACACTTCCATGACTCAAAGTAAAATTTCAGTAATATTAAAAGTATTTGGCTTAGATCCTTGACAGTTTCCCAAACCATTAATTGGTTATTTCAACAATAAATTAAACCATAATTATACATATAATGTAGAATACATGTTTTTGTCACTCACAAGAATGGCCTCTGATAAAAATCTGGAAATGAATTAGCTTCGCAAATTGTCTCTAGTTGATGTCACAAAAAAAACATTTTGAACCATAAAAGTGCCCCGATAAAGTCTCCTGGAAGCAATTTTCCAATCAGTGATTTTCAAAAAAATCATCACCTTACAATGTAACCATGCAAGCTAAGCCACTGCCGAAACAAAGTGCTTTTTAATTACACTAACTAAAAGAACACACGCAAAATTCCCTGCTCCATATGTCAAAATGCAAACCAGTTTGTAAACATTGTTCCTTGCCAACCCTGGCCACACAAGTTGCGGCGGTTAGAACAAAAATTCAAGAAGTACCTTCAGTACAACAGGAAAGGCGCTCACTCTTGATTTACTCGTGGCAGTCACAACCACCATGAAAAATATTACCATTCACTTATGCAGCCACAACCGAAGCTATTATGCCAGAGATTTTGAGCCAGAGAAAAACCCTACAGCACTGTATAAGCAGAACTCTGTTATGTCTCCAAAAACAAATATATTTGTCTTAACAGCATAACTGTTCCGATTTAAAGCTTTCGTGACTGCAGGGATTCATCTTCTTGGTCCTTTCGGTAAAGTCACGTAGAATGGAAATAATAAAAATAAAACATTATATTATTTTATTACTTCCATTCTATGTGACTTTACCGAAAGAACCAAGAAAAAAAAGCATTACTGTTTTATAGACCAATACTATCCAGTATATTAAATAAAACAACTCTGGCCAATATTTTTTTATAATGTATCTGGAGTGAAAAAAAATAGCAAGTTCGAAAAAAAAAACACGGACCCTTTGAGTGGTTAGATTAATGTATCCAAAATAGTTATATAATCACGTGTGCAAGAACATATCCACACATTCATCCATCCGCTATTTTAAGAAAATGCATAATGTCCGTGAAAACTAATCAAGCGCTGATGGTGACAAAATCAAACTAAAAAATTGTGGAAATGTAATTGAAGCTGAGAGGCAGAAAATCCCTGAATACCACCCAAAAATGCACGCAAAGAAAACATAAGATCGAAAATAAATATTAAATTGTATTTACAATGATTCACAGAAATGTCATACAACGGAATACACTGTCCCATTCTTCAAAAAAGACAAATTGCATTCACGATATGCACGATAAAACATTTACAATGGTTCACAATTGTGAGGATTTGAGTTAATTTTCCAATGCTATTATTAAACGTTCAAAAATCAACCATTCGCCGAAACATTTAAAATATCTAACAAATATAATTGCATCAGATGTCTGAACATCTATGGGAACTATTCTATCAAAAACGATACGAAATTCAAATTCAAGTAATCTATTTTTCAATGTTTTGTTTACTTGGACATATCAAGAGGATATATATTTCCAGTATTATACAATTTTAGCTTCAGTATTTGAAAAACGACGTTGCACTGGACATAAAAATGGTACACAGAACACCATAACATATTTTATATAAACACACAGCACCACGCAGGGTATTGTATCGTGGTGTTTGCCAATTGTTTTTATTAGCAATTGAAACAAGTTTCAATGGGGGTTTTGTGAATACAAAAGTTGGATTAGAATGCTGAGCAAACACAACTGACAATAGAAACGGGTGCAAACGTTATGACTGCAAAGGTTATTAAGGTCATATTACCAATACATGAATACGCATTAAACTGTATTAACTAATGTTCCAAAACCATCTTATGTACAGCATGTATCGGTTTAATTGTCCAACAACATTTATTTTTGACATTACTTTTGCACATTGACACAACGAATACAGCCTTGTTCAACCTACCAAGCAACTGAACATGGTAAATTGCATATCTAAATTTCCAAATTTGAAGGGTTTGTTTTTTTACTATAACTCAAAATGGGCACATTAAAGTGCTGATTCTGCCTGTATATAATGTGGAAACCACAGACCAGCTCGTTAGAAATAAACCTAACACAGTATGGCAACTGTGTGGGTCACTACCATAGCGGTAAACACTTTGGAAATTAGTTTGTGGCTTGTTTATGATATACTATCGCAGGCGAATGACCCAGTAAAGAACAAAGATGACAAAGAGAGCGAAGAGCATGAGATAGCACATGAGGCGTGCCTGGCTTCCGCCAGAAATCTTCTTGAGTCGACCCATTGTGGCACCCAGGAGCCCCCCTGTCGAGTCAAAGGCTGAATCCTGCATGAGAGTAATCGATTAGAGAACAATGGAAAAATCAAATGTAGGTCAATTAAAATGTTGAAACCTCTTCTTGGTTCTTTCGGTAAAGTCACGTAGAAGGGAAGTAATAAAATAATAAAACATAATAAGATAATTCTCATGACGTTTCGGCCAGCGTCTCCCCGACAGACCTGGTCTTCACCTGAGGATGGCTGCTTGCGTTGTGGCCGAAACGTCGTGAGAATTATTTTATTATGTTTTATTTTTATGATTTTATTACTTCGCTTCTACGTGACTTTACCGAAAGAACCAAGAAGATGAATCCCTGCAGTCATGAAAGCTTTAAATGGAAATGTTGAAACCTATTAACAAATAATATTGTGAAAAGCAGAACGTACCATTTCTGACAGCACACTGTTGTGAACCTTGACCTCATTGCCCATTTCGATGGAAAGCTGTGAAAAAACAAACAATGAAATAGTGACACAAAGAAATATTTTACAACCCTTTGTTAATCCACTCCTGGATGAAAGCCGTGCTGGGTCACAGGAGTTTTTTGACCACACTTCACAAAGCTGATCAGTGTGGGTTTAGAGATGGAAATGTGCCTCATGTTATTATGTAAATTCAAGTGGGACAGTGCACTATCCACTGTGCCACTTCTCAAACCAAAATTATTGATCATCAATAACAACGTGACAAATACAAAGATAGCATTACGTGGGTCCTTCTGGAAGGGCACAAAAATAATACACAAGCCCGGATGCATATCGTAAAAATGTGCACAAATTTTACAAGGTGAATCTACAGACACCAAAGTAGATTTTCGTCTACTACTTACAGATTTCAGTGCAGACACTTTGGCACGCAAGTCATCCTGGAGTGCCTCGTTCTCCTCTTCATACATGCGCTGCCCACCGCCCACATATGAGGTCCCATCTGCACCAAAAAATACATATTATCAAGCTAAACAACATTACTGTATACTGTCGTGTATGTGACGTTTTTGAGTTTCACCACGTGTTGTTCGGTATGATGCCCTACGTTTTGAACTGTGAGCTAGGAACTTTTCCAGCAATTGAATTCCAGGACGTGAAGAATATCAGTTCCTGAAGAAGTTCCCAGGCACGTGGAGCGAAACATCAGACGTAATGCAAGACACAGCGCCATGCAACCCAATAACACATTGGAGAACTATACAGCAACAAACGTGAAAGCGTATGCTGTAAATTGTACATTCAAGTGTTGATCTCTGCATTTGAAAAGAGTTATTGTCCAAAACGTTACCTATTACAGTATAGTATATCGTTTTTCCTTTCATGGCAAAAATATTGACTCATTTGTTCAGCCTTTTTGCTGTTTAGAAAAATAGTCAATGTGTTATCTATCCACTAAAATGGCAGATTAATTAAAAATAACAGGCTATGTTGATGTTGTCACTAAGAAAAAAATTGACGTTTCAGCTGAGTGAGCGTGTTCAGGCAATATGTAATCAATATTTGCATTATACCTCAACGTCGGTGGAGTGGTGGCATAGTGGTTGGTACACGTAACATTAAACCCAGAAAACCGAATACCGATTTCTATAAGAATGCTTTACCCTTTCTGGCACTAAAACAGGTGTTCAGATGTTAAAACACCAAACTGAAACCATTTGCAAAGAATCGTGTCTGCATTAACCACATATACTTGTTAACATGCAAAGAAAAAACATGCTCTGGTAGTATGTGATGCATGGGTCTTTGAAACTGAATTGGTCCACACCAGAAACAGCTTTCTTTAGAGCCTAGTCTCAAACAGTGTTAGACCAGAGGACAACGCCAAAAAGTAAACGATTTCTAGCCAGGACCAGCACCAGTGGCGGATGACATCTGAACCTGTTCCATCAACCCCGCATTTACCAGTGCGGTGAAGTATGGTCAAACAAACGGCCTGGGGAGGTTTTCATCCAGCAGTGGATTTATTCGTTCGCCAATGTCTGTGCAACTGCTGAATAAAGGCGTCCCCACGTTCCCTGCACATTAACTAATTCCATCGCTCCATCTCCCCGGTGGTGGTCCTCTTAAAAATTGGATTCAAGGCCTCTTAAATTCGTGTACGGCTGTAATTTGATTTCGACCCAGTCCAGCAATTTCACGACTGTTGTCCATTTTCAGATGGCAATGCGACACATACACTTTGCCAATAGGTTTTATGTCATTGCCTTAACGCCGTAAGCGTATCAATACACATGAAGACTGCACTTTATATTTCCCACATCACATAAGCGCCGTCGCTCGCGTAATACTTATGTGCTCTACGATTACCATAGAGGCGGCCTAACACGCGATAAGCCTCACGATAAATTCAAGACACATTTTTTTATCTAACGTATCCACACGGCTTGAGACATATTTAACACAATTATCGTTAAAAAACACACACAGCTAAAAAAACACGATAAAAATGTTATAATAAACCGATGTCGAACCGCGGTCGAGCCATCGGGGTCTGTACTCGAAGCTCCGGCCGCGCTCGAGGCCTCTTCTCCGGCAGAGAGAATTAGGCCACAGCGGGGGACTCACGGCAAACCCCCGAGAATCACCTAGGCCTCACCGGCACATTATATAAACAGCAACAAAAGTGTAACAAAACAGCGAAAACTCTTCACCTATGTTGGCGCGCCTCATGCTGCGGTTTTCTCGAGACGTGTTTTTGTGTACTTTGATTCGTCGCTCGATTTTAAGTGTTTCAAAGCGGACTCGGAGATCGCTCCGGACGCGTTCAACTTCAGGGCCACGTCAGCTGCGAGTCGGTGACGCAAGCGACACGGTGGGATGCGTCACCGAAGATTGACTTTTATATAATAATTTTTGTATTATTATATCGGTGGTTAATTTTTTTAATTCACATTTATTCGTATGAAAACGACGGATGGTAGTTATTAAAGTAGTGGTTTTAATTAGGCGCAATGACATTCGTAGACTGAGCGACGGTTCGCTTTTGGGTGTTGTCGGCTTAAATTGCATTTATTGTGTAAAAATTCGATGTACTACGCAAGAGAGGGTTCATCATCGCCTCCAAGTCGTCACTTATTTTTAAATCCTTTATAAAGTTTATATTAAGTTCGCGTGCTTGCTTGCTTGCTTACGACCGTGCAAATCTTTCGGTCGTTTTTTAACCCACTTCCCGTGATCCAATCGAGCTGACATTTTCCACACAGACTCGTTGTGCCAGACAATTATTGTTCGTGAAAAAAAATTCCCAAAATTTTACACTTTTTAGGCAAAAAAAAATATTTTACATATATTCAAATAGAACGCATGCATGGCTTTGGCTGAACATCACAGTGCAAGAGCCCAGAGCGTAACCCCTCCACAAGCCGTGGCGGAGTAGCGCAGTTGGTAGCGCCCTCGCTTCCCATGCCAAAGGTCGCGGGATCGATCCCCGCGTCCTCCACAGGCGAATATATTTTTAAATCCTTTATATTAAGTTCGCTTGCTTGCTTAGGACCGTGCAAATCTTTCGGTCGTTTTTTAACCCACTTCCCGTGATCCAATCGAGCTGACATTTTGCACACAGACTCGTTGTGCTTGACAATTAATTTTCGTGAATTTTTTTCCCCAAAATTTGACACTGTTTAGGGAATTTTTTTAAAATATTTAATTACCAATTGCTTAATTGTGGCAGACAATCTTCTGACCCATAGGTGGCAGCCATCTCAAGCCAGAGGACGAGAGGACTGTAGCCGCCCGTTTCATGATGACGCAAATGTTGACTAATCACATGGCATGAAATCCCTGCCCCCACGCTATACAATGGAGACTATTTATAGAGCAGTTAAATTGAAGCCGCCAGGTTCTTGAAAGTGGTCAAACGGGTCAACGCTAGTGCCCTCGGGAATATACGGGGCATGTCAAGAGGTGATCTTTCATTTTTAAATCCTTTACATTAACTTCACTTGCTTGTTTGCTTACTCAAGAAAAACAGAAATGAATAATAAAATGAAACCGATGCCACGCATATAAAAGATTTATAGTGAAAAACTTTGTTTTTACGGGTTAATTTTTTACTGAAAATATATCCCAATGCCACAAGACCCAATGATGTCTGGTGGCGAGTTTATATTGGTCGCCTTATGTGTTAAAATGAGTGCGTAAGAGGGCCCGGCCCCGTGGATGTATATATCAATGAACAACTTCTGAGATGCTTTTTTTAAACACATGTTTTTTTTTTTATCTGCACACCCTGGACGTTGTACTTTGGCACATTTTTACTCCAGCCACGCCTGACATGACAGCCAAAGTTTTATACACGAAGTGAAAACGCAAATGTAATACGTTGTTTTGTGTGCAGTCGCTGGTAATTGAAACCGTCAAATCGCAATACTTGAGAAACCTGATTTTAATCACCAGGAGCTTCAAGCCATATTCAAAACCGGGACCTCAGGGGTTTTACCTATAAACCACCTCAATAGACTCATCACCTGGAGAGAATGTTATCTTGTAACAGCAAGCAACATAAAACAAATTGGTGCAGAATGTTCCGTGGCTCATGCACTCAGATCCTGATGACCTCCGTTCTCACCATCACCTATAAAGTGGCTCCATATAAGTTTATGTTTGTCGCTTTTCCGCCTGATATGATGATTACAATTGCTCGTAACTGCTTTTATTTCACATGCCTGTACTTAGTTTCCAAAGTACAAAGTATGTAATGCAGCTGTAGAGATTGTTGCCCTGTGCACGCAAACTTGCGTCACATTGCTTCTGGTGACAATGACACAGCATGACAACGTTCTGGCTTAACTGTTTATTACACTGTGTTTTTATTTTATTTGAGTCATTCATTTAATGAAATTAAATCAAAGCACATAATACATCAAATTGTATGTAAGGTAGAAAATGTAATTTACAGGATGTATGTGTTATTGAATGTTGCCTCCGAAACGTCGTAAATTTATTTGTTTATTTTATTTTTATTTTACTTTTATTAATTTAAATTTTAATTTTTTACCTACATGACTTTACCGAAAAAACCCAAGAATATGAATGCTTGCAGTCACGAAAGCTTCAAATCTAGAAGTGTAAATTAAAGTTCTAATTTCTAAAATAAAAACTAACCACCATCATCATGAATACTGTGCGATGACTAACGACTCTGTATGGTAGATGCTGCTATGTGCTGATCAGTGTATGCTCCCACATATCACTTAACTTCATAACCAGTTCATAATCCACGTGCTTTAGACGTGTGGGTCACTGTAAAGTTGCAAGATGCCCAAGGCAACTTATTGAAAAATCTTAAGAGTAGCAAAATAAAATGTCAACAGCCATTTTTCGATTTAAAGCTTTCGTGACTGCAGGGATTCATCTTCTTGTTTTTTTCGGTAAAGTCACGTGACTTTACCGAAAGAACCAAGAAGATGTCCACAGCCATGTTGCATAACTACCTTGTTTCAAGGCTGTCACTCTAAGGGTTTCATGGGTTGAGACTCTCCTGCACAACATCAAAACCAATAAATTCATGGCTGTCCATGATGGTGGGGCCTTTAAGGCCCAGCTGTTCATCAGCAAGAGCAACCTCTTAATTGTCTATTTCAATTCCCAAATCCTGGGAAGGGGAGTCAGATATCATCTTGGCTTGGTGCCCAACATCACATTCACTTTAAGAAAACTTTTAGTGGTGTCTGTGATCTCTTTGGTAAAGTCTCGGCACAGAAATCATAGATGCAAACCATTTGTAACTGATTCATCCTGTTAGACACTGGTTAATAAACAATTTGGGGTGGGTATTAAACACACATTTTCTCTGAGCTTCCATGAGAATAACAGCTCTACTGTGGGTGCAAACGTCTTTAGAATTCTGGCAGCATTGCAAAAGGTAAAGTAAATAGTTTTTTTCTCCGTGAAATGTAGCATATGCCATGTCTGTTTTCTGTCGTGTTTGCAAATGTTTCTATTACCCTAGAAACACATGAACTATTATTTCATAGAATTAACTGAAATTACATGTTGCAGTAAAGACCTTATATACATTTTTTGTGCAACATCTGTTCTTCATCTTTTCATACTATAATATTAGGTTTATAATAATGTACTTATTTAACCAGGAAAGATAAACTGAGTCGTTTGACTCTCTTTCTGGATGGTCCTGCTATATTTGGTTTGCATTTTAATATGTTTTCAGACAATTAATGATTAATGTTTTTATACATATTGGAGGAAAACGGAGCACCTGGAGAAAACCCACACGTGTGAGGGGGCAACACTCTATCCCCATGCAAATGGTAACAGCGATTAGGCCACTTACTGTACTGCCTTCTCCTGGCGAGCTAGGGTATCGCACCTCCGATTGACACGGTTGGCTACGTACGGTGCAAAAGAAGTTCAACATTCATACATACCTCGACGGCCTCGGAAAGGTAGTTGTGAAATATTTGTATTATCCACCAACCCTTGCTTCCTCCATAGTCTCGGAATATAGTCATCTGTAGCCACCACCATCCAGCATTCTAAACCATGTAGAATTTTTTTTAATGTTATGCAAAGGGAGCGCATTTTGGGAATAAGTTCTGTAAAATGATAATACAATTTCAATATGCAACAATTATACAAAACTTTTTAAAAATCGCAATGCCTTCATTTAAAATAAATTATTTCCAATGTTTTCGTGGGTGGAATACGTTTTCCAAGAGAATATATATTTGCAATAATTAACACTTTGTACTTAAAATGTGTTAACTATTAGAGAAAAAACAAGGCATTATTCATAAAATACATACATAATTCATCAATCAAACACATACACTATCTTTTGCATATATTTAGCAACCCATTATCACTGAATATACATCTTAGGCACAATTAATATTAATAATATGCATTCCATTTCGATTTAAAGCTTTCGTGACTGCAGGGATTCATCTTCTTGTTTCTTTCGGTAAAGTCACGTAGAAGGGAAGTAATAAAATAATAAAAATAAAACATAATAAAACAATTCTCACGACGTTTCGGCTACAACGCAAGCAGCCGTCTTCAGGTGAAGAATGAGACACTACCAAACTAGGAGCTTATATATAAGCTGCATTGGGGGTTGAAGAGCGCCTTAACAAAAAGAATGTGCATGTGAAGAGGGATTTAGCATATTCATGGAAAATGCGTAGGCGTTGGGCGGGGGGGTGTCAAAGTCATATTATGCCCATGCATTATGCAGGATCAGCAGCAACCAAGGGGGGTGCAGGGATTAGCAGTAACAAAGGAAAGGAATGTTAATGATATGTAGCTGCAGTTACTCAACAACACGTAGAAAACTAAAGTATAAACTACATAAAAAACTAAAGTATAAACTGCATCGCACCATCAGTATACTTACTATACTCTATAATAAGCTGAGTTACTAACAGCAAGTAATACATTACAATTTTACCTCGTAAAAATTCTATAATATGCTTCCATCTAAACCTTATTCTCTTACATCACACGAGCATATACCGTACTATATACTGCCATAGATAAACCCAACATTAAATTATATACTGTATTGCTGTAAACCAACCTATATCTTATACATTTAATATCACACTATGTATTATTCTACACACCCTAATGTGTATCGAAATGGTTTATTACGTCCTTCCAATGATTGCTGAGCCAGAATCCATCTTCTCGGTTAAAGTTGTCTCTGTGTTTGTATATGTGGATCGCCTCATGAACGAATCTCTCATGATAGCCAGATGGCTTGCAGAGAACCTCTGTCTTGGAGAAGTCAATATCATGTGAGCCCACTGAGTTGTAACAGTGATCTGCCACGGCTGAGGTGTTAGTCCTACCGTGTTTCAGGTCAGCTTTATGTTCCCGGATGCGGTCCGAGACATGTCGTTTGGTTTCCCCAATGTAACTGCTACCACAGAGGCAACTTAGTTTGTAGACGCCAGGGTACTGTATGTCTGGAACCACATCTTTTACAGACGGTACCAGATCACGGATTTTATGTACTGTGTTGAATCGGACCTGGATCTTGTGTTTAATCAGGATTTTGGAGATCTTTTTTGTGACCCCAGCAATGTAGGGTAAGGTGATGGTCTTGAAAGGCTCCTCAACAGGATCCTTCTTGATGGTTGGAGTGATGGCTTTGCGGATTGTATAGTCGGAGTAACCATTTGCCTTAAGAGCTTGGCGTACGTGTTTGAGTTCACTGGAAATGTGTTCATGGTCGGAGATGCATTGGGCTCTATGATATAGAGTCTTGATGAGGGAATTCTTCTGAGATGGATGGTGGTGGGAATCCGGTTTTAGATAAGCATCCGTGTGGGTGGCTTTCCTGTAGACAGAGTGGCTCATTGAACCATCAGGTCTCCTTTTGATTAGGACATCCAAAAAGGGTAGCTTGCCATCATTTTCGACTTCCATGGTGAATCTGATGGCTGGGTGTATGGAATTGATGTGGTCGAGAAATTGGTCTAGAGCAGGCCGGCCATGTGGCCAGATGACAATTAGCTCAATTAAAAAAGAGGGATGACATTGTCATCCTCTCAGCCGACAAAGGCAATGCCACTGTCATCATGGACAAAATAGAATACAACAACAAAATTCAAGAACTACTAAACGATGGCAGCTATACAAAAATAAAAAGAGACCCCACCAACAGCCTCGTCTCCAAAACCAACAACATCATTTCTGCTTCAACCGCATTAATTGATCAGACCAAACAGTTCTCGTTGAAACCTTCTGCAGCCAGACCACCAAGATTGTACGGCTTGCCAAAGATACATAAAGAAGATACACCTCTTCGTCCCATTGTCTCTACTATCAACTCCCCCACTTACAAACTGGCTCGTTTTTTGTCCGAAATCCTACGGCCTTTCACTGGAAAAACCACCTCTGCAGTACTAAACTCTACTGACCTGGTATCGACAATCAAGGGGATTGCCCTGTCCCCAGACGACCTGCTTGTCAGTTTTGATGTGGTTTCCTTGTTCACCAAGGTACCTGTGCCTGACACCATCGCAATCATTGAAGACTTGGTTCATCAAGGACTGAATGCTGGGGTACCCCCCCTGGTGAGACACTGCTTAACCAATACATACTTCACCTGGAATGGAACCTTCTACAAGCAAATTGAGGGCACCCCAATGGGCTCCCCCCTATCTCCGGTTGTAGCCAACATCTTCATGGAGAAATTTGAGACGGACGCCATCCAGACTGCCACTCTACGCCCGACCTTATGGAAGAGGTACGTAGACGACACTTTTGTCATCTGGCCACATGGCCGGCCTGCTCTAGACCAATTTCTCGACCACATCAATTCCATACACCCAGCCATCAGATTCACCATGGAAGTCGAAAATGATGGCAAGCTACCCTTTTTGGATGTCCTAATCAAAAGGAGACCTGATGGTTCAATGAGCCACTCTGTCTACAGGAAAGCCACCCACACGGATGCTTATCTAAAACCGGATTCCCACCACCATCCATCTCAGAAGAATTCCCTCATCAAGACTCTATATCATAGAGCCCAATGCATCTCCGACCATGAACACATTTCCAGTGAACTCAAACACGTACGCCAAGCTCTTAAGGCAAATGGTTACTCCGACTATACAATCCGCAAAGCCATCACTCCAACCATCAAGAAGGATCCTGTTGAGGAGCCTTTCAAGACCATCACCTTACCCTACATTGCTGGGGTCACAAAAAAGATCTCCAAAATCCTGATTAAACACAAGATCCAGGTCCGATTCAACACAGTACATAAAATCCGTGATCTGGTACCGTCTGTAAAAGATGTGGTTCCAGACATACAGTACCCTGGCGTCTACAAACTAAGTTGCCTCTGTGGTAGCAGTTACATTGGGGAAACCAAACGACATGTCTCGGACCGCATCCGTGAACATAAAGCTGACCTGAAACACGGTAGGACTAACACCTCAGCCGTGGCAGATCACTGTTACAACTCAGTGGGCTCACATGATATTGACTTCTCCAAGACAGAGGTTCTCTGCAAGCCATCTGGCTATCATGAGAGATTCGTTCATGAGGCGATCCACATATACAAACACAGAGACAACTTTAACCGAGAAGATGGATTCTGGCTCAGCAATCATTGGAAGGACGTAATAAACCATTTCGATACACATTAGGGTGTGTAGAATAATACATAGTGTGATATTAAATGTATAAGATATAGGTTGGTTTACAGCAATACAGTATATAATTTAATGTTGGGTTTATCTATGGCAGTATATAGTACGGTATATGCTCGTGTGATGTAAGAGAATAAGGTTTAGATGGAAGCATATTATAGAATTTTTACGAGAAAAATTGTAATGTATTACTTGCTGTTAGTAACTCAGCTTATTATAGAGTATAGTAAGTATACTGATGGTGCGATGCAGTTTATACTTTAGTTTTTTATGTAGTTTATACTTTAGTTTTCTACGTGTTGTTGAGTAACTGCAGCTACATATCATTAACATTCCTTTCCTTTGTTACTGCTAATCCCTGCACCCCCCTTGGTTGCTGCTGATCCTGCATAATGCATGGGCATAATATGACTTTGACACCCCCCCGCCCAACGCCTACGCATTTTCCATGAATATGCTAAATCCCTCTTCACATGCACATTCTTTTTGTTAAGGCGCTCTTCAACCCCCAATGCAGCTTATATATAAGCTCCTAGTTTGGTAGTGTCTCATTCTTCACCTGAAGACGGCTGCTTGCGTTGTAGCCGAAACGTCGTGAGAATTGTTTTATTATGTTTTATTTTTATTATTTTATTACTTCCCTTCTACGTGACTTTACCGAAAGAAACAAGAAGAATATGCATTCCTCTTAGGATTATAAGTGTTGGTGGCAATTACTGGAAAAATATATTAAATGTATTATTTCATGGACCACAACCACCACCACAATACCATTCTAAATGAAAGTGCGGCTGATAATTACTTGAAATTTTTTTGTAAGCGAAACTCAGAATTTAAATAATAAACAGTAAATTATATGCAGAATTGGCAAGTTTATCGAATAAACTATACGTAACATCTGAATGTGGATAGAGTGAATAAAAAATAGATATATTTGCATGTTTTTGTTCGCATAATGTGATTCAAATTTTACCAACCATGTCATATTACGAGACTTACTGAAGTAACAATTTTAAATTCTCCCAGAGCTGGACATCCACGTTGTTTGAGAATGGCCTTTAGAAGCAGATGTCAAATAACGTCTGAGACCCCTTCAAGTGATCTTTTTAAAATTAAAATAAATCATTTCTGCATTGTCTATATGCAACGCCATTTCAAGATGCTGTACTAAAAATCGGGGCGTGCTTGGCACGTAGAAATGTGTGTGGAAAAGAGTTCCCCTCCAGTGTGTGTGGATACATGCATTGAAATCTAATTTATTTTCGATTGAAAACTAATTTCTCAAGAACTGCGTTTTGTGTTTAGTTTGTTGTCCTTCCCCCGCACCTCCAATTAGCACGGTTGGCTACGTACGGTGCCGAACAAGTTCAACATAAATACATTCATTTAATGTAGTTTATTTATTTATTTGCACTCACTTGTGATTTGAAAATCTCGTTTAACCACGGGCAGCTAAAAATCTGAATCAAGCCCAGGATCTCAGTGGACATCTGTGAAAAAGAGCGTTAAAGCGCATCGGATTCTTCCAGAATACATCAATATTCTGTTTATATATGTTCTGAACATTGAGCCACCTGGCCACCCTGACTGTGTGATGTTTATCTCGTAAGTCGTTTCCACCATTTCTATGACAGCATATAACGCCGCTTTATGAAACAACCGCCAATACCATACACTGTGCAAGTTGGTCATAACGTTATCAAACCAAAGCACAGTTTTTCTGAGCAAAGTTCAGAAGTGATGCTGACTAATTATCTACTCGAGGGTCTGTGCTTTAATTTAACCGTACGTCGAAGATAATTAATGGGGAACTCGCAACAGTCAATGAATACACGTGACTAGCCTTTCACCCATAACCATATCACCTCGAATGTGCTCGACCTCGCGGGATCTTGGAGGGCTGAGCCTTCGTTGTACCGTGCTTTAATGGACAATCTCTTAATTGTTTTCAGTGCATGGGACAGGCGACATAGGCTGCTGCGGGGTGACCAGCCGGGCAGCAGTCAATTGCTGTGTAGTTTACTTCATGTGCTCCCACGTTCATGCCTCCTGCCCTTCATCAAGCCACGCTGATAAGCGCTGATAAGTGTGGCATGGGGTCGGGAGGCCTGCATCCAGCAGTGGATTGGCAAAAGGGGCTTCACATGCCCATGCATCTTCAATAGAGTACCATGTTGGGCCATACTGTGAGCTGTTCAATTGGTATTTTGAGTGAATAATTTATTGTGGCTGCTCAGAATTCAGTTTAGCTCGTGAAGAAGTATTACACTCTCCTGTAATATGTATTTTTATTTTGAAGACGGAATCTGCATTCTGTATTGTATGACTGTCCCCTGCAGTATAATTCTAACATTGCAGGACTTTCTACATTGCATTTCTTTAGGAATGTTAGAATTAATCAGCTTCTGTGGCTCTTCTGAAGAGAAATTAAATGTACACACACATACACAATGTGTCATGTTTGTGTGCACGCATTTATTTGCGTTATGTTTTCTGCTTTATTTTCTAATAATTTTCTTTATCTGTAAACGGACTTCAATGAATTCATTCTTCAATTTCGCATCTACATTTCTTTAAAATTTATTTTTATTTTCATGTCTGTTGTGGCTTCAGACAATGTGCCCTCTACTCTGTTTTTTTCGGTAAAGTCACGTAGGTAGAAAAATAATAGATCACGACGTTTCGATCGCAACACAAGCAAACGTCATCAGGTGATGACGTTTCGATCGCAACACAAGCAATCCTCATCGCTTGATGATTGCTTGTGTTGCGATCGAAACGTCGTGATCTATTATTTTTCAACCTACGTGACTTTACCGAAAGAACCAAAGAGTATGGATTCCTGCAGTCACGAAAGCTTCACTTCAAGAATGTGCCCTCTGTTTTTTCTAGCATTTCCCTCCCATCTAGGTAATACGGTATCGCATACAAAATACGGACGTCTTGGAGACACGAAATTAAGGTCTGGTTTTGTTTCCTTCTTTTAAAAATATTATCAGCTACTGAATAAAGGGCCAAATCAAATGAAACACATTACAGTAAGGGAGGCAATTAGTCAGTAATCACCGCTCATTCTGGATAATTACCTCCTATTCAACAACCCTGCTTTTTTGGCAGTCCACCCACACTCGTACAAAATATGTTGTGTTTTAAGTTCACTTGCCTTGACACTTTGTTAAGTGGCCCTCCTGCTGTATTTCTGCCTTATTTACACGGAATAATCCCATGCTGAGAGCACGCACGGCACACTGACATAAACAGGCTTCCTTGCGATGCGAGTAGCATCCCACAAATTACAATTAAAAGAGTGCGTGGGCTTGATGAGGCATTGGGTGTGTGGTGTGTGGTCAGCTGATTGACATTCAGTCCTTTTTATGAAATGACTCACTTAAAATAAAAACTGTGCCCCCCCCACTCCCACCTTTGCTGGACATAATGGTGAAATAATAGCCTTTTGTTCTGCAGGTGGGGAAGGCTACATTATCAAAGCAGACGAAAGAAGAGGATGCTTTGAAGAAAAAATATTCCACAATGAGTCACATTTACCAAGTGAATAAAGGTGCCATATTTGATGTTATCTATTTGTATTACGTGTTCATGTATTATTTACACGTGAAGCGACGTACGAACAATGCTATATCAAACCAATTCTTCCATTTACTTTCATTTCCCTAAACAAAATGAATTCGGTTATGCACGTTTTTTTTTCTTCTCAAAGAGTTGTTTGCTTCTCATTATCTACTAATAGAGATACTTTTGTACGCCAATTCCAAAAGGTTCACATGTAAACGTTGATCAAATGTCCCAGGCATTAACAGATCCCGGATCCAACCAAAGTGTTTACTTGCTTAAAACAAATGTTGCTTGATAATATTGAACTGAAGAGCCAACAGTAGGCTGATATACTAAAACACGATATGGTGTATTTGTATGTGGAGCTACCTAAACGATGTATACATTTGTGCATTTACCCATAATGAGCCACAGCTGATGCATGAGTTTGGATATCTGGACACTCAATCGATGCATCTGTTATTTCTCTCTGCTCTGAAGGGTCAGATTGTCAGTCTCCTATACACTACAATATATGTGTGTCGCAAGGCAGTGTTTATGATGAATGTGGTGAGTTCAATTTCATTGTCATTTATTGAAAGATGATCCACGGCACGGGTGAGTTTGACAAACGCATTTAACATGGGCATTAAAAAACTAATTCTTCTCAATTGCATTCCGATTGTGCTTTCCATATCAAGGCATGAAAAGAGTTCCGTATGGAACTCTCAACACAGTGCATCAACCCTGTTAAAAAGTCTCTTTTGTCAAGGGAGACCCGAGTCAAAATAATACACGATAACAGCAGACAGCTTCTGTGCAAAAAAATAATAATTACAGAAGTTCATCATTGTACACATCAAATGTCATGAAAATCAAACGGATTGGTCAAAATGCAGATTTAAACATCACAACAGCAAACGTCATAGCATAACACGGGTCCTCGTTTATGAAATTAACAATATCCTCGTCTCTGTTGAAATTATTTTAAAATGGATAATGACTGTTAACTGCACGAAACCGGACCAGCTGATTATGCAATGTGAAATTATTTTATGAGAACTCGATGTTATCAAATAATGCTTTAAAAGCATCCCAACGGAAGACATTAATGGCATTTTTTTTCTTTAAATGCGTATCTCAAACTCACAGAAATGGCATTATTGGTAAGGCTCACCAACCTTCCATGAGGCGCTATCCCAATGCAGACTGAGATGGCTTTTCTGAGAAATTCAAAAGAAAACAAAATTTCAGCAGCACAATCTAATTTTAGTCCTTCAATTTTTTGGCTTTCGCCCCACTTTTTATGTTATTTCTGCTAATAACACAATGTCATGTTTATTCTAAGGGTGCCTCAAGGGTAATGCTTTGAATGTCAGGCAGTCTGGAAGAGGAAGTCGGTGGCATTTGCTCTTGACATGTATGGCCATCACCCTGCAGACACTGTCACTCAGCAAGCAACAAGGAGCAACAGTGGCTGATTATAGGAAGAACCCAGGACGGTCATTTCCATTTATAACAATTAAAAGTATGCATTTTCTCACATTTTATCCCAAGTGCGCTATTCGTGCCACGTTATTGGATACGGAATCAATTTAGGAAATCTCATAAAGCAGTGCAACCTGTCATGGTAGAGAATTGTCCATGGCAGCAGATAGCAGAGAGCCACCTCTGAAAGCCTTCAATTGACCTTTCCTCTACGCAGTACAGAGCAGCACCTTCCCACCTGCTCTGCAACTAAGATGGCTGTTAATCACGTGACAGTAAAATTAGATTTTTTTTTTTATTCAAAGAGATGGAATGGGCAGTCAAATTAAGTGCAGTCAGATTTATTGTTGTGGGTTTTTCGTGCAGTCGTTGGGGACCAAGCTGATACCATAAACTCACTCAATTTGAGAAGTCAGCTTTATCAAAGCCATGATTCAAACCGAGAATTAGCCTGGATTCAAACCCAGAATCAGCCTGGATTCAAACCCAGAATCTGCCTGGATTAAAACCAAAAATCTGACTGGATTCAAACCAAAAATCTGCCTGGATTAAAACCCAGAATCAGCCTGGATTCAAACAAAAAAGCAGCCTGGGTTCAAACCCAGAATAAGCCTGGATTTAAACCTAGAATAAGCATGGATTCAAACCCAGAATCAGCCTAGATTCAAACAAAAAATCTGCCTGGATTCAAACCAAAAATCAGCCTGGATTCAAACCCAGAATCAGCCTGGATTAAAACCCAGAATCAGCCTGGATTCAAACCAAAAATCAGCCTGGATTCAAACCCAGCTAAGTGCTCTGACCTCTTAATGCACCTGAATACCTCCATAATAAGTTAATAAATATTATAAATATTTGCCAATGCCAACAGGTCATTGGACAATTTTGGAATGCAGATGCAGTAACTGGTTTCGTGTGTGCTCATGTCATTCATTCTGAGGTGTGTAGCCTTAGAGTGCTTGCGCAGTTTTATAGATGTGAGGATTGTAATGTTGTGATAGAGAGATACAAAAAAAGGAACACGTTCATTACAGAACATACAGAGACGAAATTATGCAATTCCAAGCGTAAAGAAGGGTAAGTGGAATTGGGCAGGGCACGCCGCTGTCAGGGATGATGGCTGATTGTCAATAATAATGACGAGTGGCAGCCCAGGGTTGAAACGTCCACTGGGGAGATGTAGTGGCTTAAATCAGCACGGGTATAGGTGTTAGGTGGATTGTTGCATCACAGGTCATACGAGGTGGTGACAGGGGAAGGCCTTAATCCAACAGTACATTGACCGTGGCTGATGATTCTAGTCTACTCTTGAGCATGGCAGTATTTTCAGGAGCTAAATGCCAACATTGAAGACTGCTCGCGACGAGAGGGCTTCAGGAGAGAATGTTGTGTGCTTTTGCTTTTTCTGCTTCGTTTAAGGAGTACAGACTACAATGGTTTTACTATATTGTGCATAGTTTGGGTTGCATTGCCACAATCGCACGATGGCTTGTTTGAAAATTTCCAATAACCGTTTACGTGACAACCCTTACTAATTGGCTGTGTCGGGTGGTGGCGGGTTTAACGACACATTTATATATTTACGCGATCTAACCCCCCAGAAAACCTGCATTATTATGGATTGCTGTGTTTGTGAAATAGTTTTCCTTTCTTCTCCTTATCACATGACTATACGCATAGCTTTCATTGTGGCCATTATGAACTACCTCCGACTGATCCTATTTGCTGCATATCATGCAGAATACTGTATGCAACATGTGCGAATCGGAATAAAACATTGATTCTATGCATGTGTAATGACCGATAAATGACCCCAAGCCAATTTGCAGCCTAGCAGCTATCTGAAAATAAACAAAGGTCTCCGATTGGTAGAACGATGTCTCCACGGTGATTGCTTGGGAGGCAGACTTTTAAAGGATTGAAATATCTTCTTGGTTCTTTCGGTAAAGTCACGTAGAAGGGAAATAATAAAATAATAAAAATAAAACATAATAAATAACAATTCTCACGACGTTTCGGCTACAACGCAAGCAGCCGTCCTCAGGTGAAGAACAGGTCTGTCGGAAAGACAGCGTCTGAATGAAAAAATGGGATTGAAACAATAAGGTTCTAATGAGATCAATCGGACAACAGAGTATCCGTTAGAGGGGAAGGACATGGATTGGCTAAGGGAAAAAACAAGGAAAAGAAGGTTCGAGAAAGGGGGCTAAGGAATACAAAAGAGGAGAGAGCACGAGGATTGTGGACGTTTGGAGGAAGTTACAAACTCAAAGACAAAGCACGAAGCCTCGGGTCCCGTATTGTGGCCGTGTCCAAATAAAAAGTGTCTCTTACTATTTCGTCGTCAGAGTCGTTACACAAGTATTGCGAGCTGGTCATCCAGAACAGACCATACAACATATACAATGTCCGATCCACAAATAAGAAGGAGACATCACAGTGATACAGTCCGTTACTCCTGACGATTGTGAGCTTAAGAATCGATATGATTTGATGATTCGATGCATGCAGCATTGTACCGCTGTATTGTAAATCCTCTGGCTATGTTTTTGCACTTAAAATTTAAATGGTTATTTAGTCACAGAAAAAGTTTTAGCACACGAATAAAAATCGACCTAACGTCTTTAATTTGAGGAAAGTGGCCAATGTAGAAATGTGTCTATGGGTGGTTTGTGCTCATCAAGGTATAACAAGTTAGTAAATGCATTTTACAACGTTGCCAACATTTGTCAAATACTCTACATTTTTACGCGCAAAAATTACCCACCAACAAACTCTTATGTTAAGAAATTGTTTAAGTGTAATTATTGCAACAACTCTTTGGATAAATGGGCAATTTAACTTTATTTACAGCCTAATGCACAAGCAAATAACTACCCAAAGTTTCTGTCAATTTCATACTTTTAAAAGAAAATTCTGCAAATGTTTTGGACAGTCATTTTATGTAATTCTAAGATTTTAAAAAGAGCGTGTAATTTTGTGTTTTTTTTTAAGTTTGCTGTGCAATGTTTTTTTTTTGCCCAGTCAGCAAAACAGTGAAATAAAAATATAAAGTATCAACCTCTCAAGCCCCTCTCCGATGCATTTGCAAGTTTTACTGCGTGTTGTTCAGCACGATGTCCAACATTTCGCTCCACTTGTTGGGAGCTTCTTCAATTCCTGAATTCAGGTCCTGAAAAAGCTCCCAGAACGTGGAGCGAAAACGTCGGAGATCATTGCAAACATCGTGCGGTACAACCCGAAAATACATTGGAGAGCTGTAACATTGCAATTTGTTCAGCAATTCTATACCTTTGAAGGGCACTCACTAAATTCATGACGAATCCAGACGGCTTTACAGCATGAGCCAGTGAAAGATCAGGCACGCAGTAGCATTGTATAGCTCTCATTAGATATCGAGTTTGCATGCCTGGCAATGGGTTTTGTGTTAATGGTTGCCACTTTGTGTCGCAGATAAACCATGGATCCACAGACCTGAGTTACTCACTGATGGATTCGTTTCGTACAATGTCAAGGTAGTTAAACATTTCCAGTGACATATTACCTTGGTGAATTAATGTCAGGAATTCCATTATCGAAACACAAGTATAATACATTGGGTTTCGTGTATTTGTTTTGTTATACATGCTGATCACCAATGGTGCAACTGATGTTGGCCTTTTGGCATTCTCTGGTCTAACACTGGTTGAGACTAGGCCCTAAAGAAGGCTGTCTCTGGTGTAGACCAATTAGGGCATGTTTTTGTTTGCATGTTCACCACAAGTACGCGTGGTTAATGCAGACAAGATTCCTTGCAAAAAAGTTTCTGTTTGGTTTTGAAAATCTTAACACCTGATAATTGTTTTTTTACCCTTTTATCTGGCAACAAAACTGACACCTTTTTTACAAGGAGTCATGTTTGCATAGACCACAATACCTGCAGTCATAATGCAAACAAAAAACATAACTCTGATAATGTTATGTTATTTGTTTGCATTATGACTGCAGGTATTGTGGTCTATGAAACATGACTCCTTGTAAAAAAGGTGTCAGTTTTGTTGCCAGGTAAAAGGGTAAAAAAACAATTATCATATTTTTACTGGCAAATGAGGTTCCAATGGTGTAAATCTTAACACCTGTTTTATTTACAGAAAGCGTAATATCCATTCTTATTCTTTTATACTGGCAAGAAAGGCCCCATGTTGATGCCACTAATTTGACGGAGGGCTCTTCATGTGTATTGTCACACTTTGTTTCGCCGGAAAATCCGATTCTCAAGAAACTTTTCACGAGGGTCTTACGAAAAAAATTTTTGCAGTAGGGGAGGGGCGACGTTACAGCCAGTAATCCCAATCTGACTGAATTTGACAGTTTATTTAATCGTCAATTTATATTTCCTACTGCCAGATGTCAAGACGCTAAGCAGGGTTGAGCTGCTAAGCTACACGGATGGGTGATTGTTTGGGAATACCAGGTATTGTAGTAAACCTGGGTTGTGGCGTGGCCAAAACATACCAACATAGCAATTGGGTTGAGTCCATCTGTGCGGAATTTCGAATGTTATCTTCTCCTATGCATATTTTTGCTTTTCCACCTGTCAACTCTAGTTCTTTTTTCCCCACAAGCCAAACACTCACGAAAGGATTTGGTCAAACATCGCAATGCAGAATGCTCCTGAAACATAGTCTCAAGACAGAGTGAGGCATCCTTTCATAAATCGAACACACTTCTATTCTTACATCTTCAAGTAGATACCCGCTTGTCAATGTTTATCGAATGCCACAATTCATTGCTACGATCTAGCAGTAGTTTGAATATTACGCTTTGTTGATAGCTTTGTGTTCTTCACCAATTTCATAGCTTTGGTCAACACAAAGCAACTTCACGACTTCATTATAACAAAACCCATTGCAAAATCATCACCGTTAGCGAAACCCCGTCATCGCAAAATTCACAACAAGAAAGTATGACACGCACCTCACTCATATTAACTGTCTTCCATTTGTTCTTCCATAGTTCCTTGGCTGTTATGAAGTTGAAGAGCCCAAAGGTCTGCCAGCTGTTGAGGGTGCAGTAAGGAAACTGAAGGTACCCTTAAGTGGCCTGTAAGCATTTCTGTAGCTGTTAAAAACAAGAGGGGGTGGTGGGGGGTAGCAGTGCACCATGAAGCCAGTCACTGAACAGGTCCCAACTCTCCCCCAATCCCCAACGCCATCAACCCACACTGAGCAGCATGAACACATTCCTGCGGAGGGAGCTGGTAGGAACGTTGGGTTGCTCGGTCAATGGCCAGGGTCAACGGCGGCGTGGTGTATTCCGCAAATATGGCCGACTGTGAGGGCGGGCACAAGCCGGCGTGAGTAGGTTAAACGTTGAGTGTTATAAGGGCACCACGGGGTGACCAGCCCCTCCCCACCCTCCCCTCCCCACCCAGCCGCTCCCCACCCCACCCAGCCCCTCCCACCCCCCACCCAGCCCCACCCTCCCCACCCAGCCCCTCCCCACCCTCCCCTCCCCACCCTTCCCACCCAGCCCCTCCCCACCCTCCCCTCTCCACCCAGCCCCACCCCTCCCATTTTTGGATGCACGACGGACGGACACAATAATCCCCTGTGGGCAGATGTAACCAGGAGGTTCCTACCAGTATAAAGTACAGTCAAGCAACCTCCATGCTCCACGGAGTTATCAGGAAACCAAAAAAAATGTATACTCCGACTAATGCTCCTGCTGTTGTGGAGTGACTCATGCAGCCAGCTATGGCTGCAGAGTTTGGTAGTACATGTTGTTTACGTCGTTTATTGTGAAAATTCGGTCACAGTTCCTATGATCACTGTTTAATTGCTTTTATGGCTTTATTTTGGTGATTTTCAAAAAGTTTTTGGTTTGGCCATGTTTGTTTGTTGTAGCACGGAGTTAGACTGATGGCCTTAATCTAAGTTGTCTTGTGGTTGTTGTTTGACTTGCATGCCCACTGGGATTTTTGCACACAGTGTTGGTGTACGGTGCTTTTTCTGCAATATTTTGCTGCCTTTTCTTGGATTTTCTGTTTGCAATTAGTCACATAGTCACTTTAAGATGTTTTCTTGTTCATGTTTTTGTTTTTTGTTTGTTGCGGTTGCACCCGATTCAAGAGCCGAATGGCTCACAGGGCTATACCTAATAAGTGAACTTGAACTTGATTGGTGGTTTTTAATCTCGGGGTGAACGCACCCCCTAGGGGTGCGAGATGCAATTTCTGGGGATGCAGGACATGCCGCATTTTTTCAGAAACACATATTAAGTAACAGGCGCGTAAGTCCATCTAAATTTCGATTTAAAGTTTTTGTGACTGCAGGGATTCATCTTCTTGGTTCTTTCGGTAAAGTCACATAGAAGGGAAGTAATAAAATAATAAAAATTAAACATAACTAAATAATTCTCACGACGTTTCGGCCACAACGCAAGCAGCCGTCCTCAGGTGAAGAACAGGTCCGTCGGAAAGACGGCTGCTTGCGTTGTGGCCGAAACGTCGTGAGAATTATTTATTATGTTTTATTTTTATTATTTTATTACTTCCCTTCAACGTGACTTTACCGAAAGAACCAAGAAGATCCATCTAAATTGTTTAATCAAACACTATGTATTTATTAACATTATACATGTTTAACGATTGAGAACCAAAGGAGTGCAAGGCTGCAGTAAAAGTTAAGAATCACTGCTCTAGATTGAAAACTCATTTCTTTAGAGCTGCTATTTGTGTTTAGTTTGTTGTCCTGCCCCCACACCTCCTATTAGTTGGCTACGTACAGTGCGAAAGTTCGACATACATGACATGCTCTTTGTTCTTTCGGTAAAGTCACGTAGAAGAGAAATAATAAAATATAATCAATATAAGTATAACCCGTAAAAACAAAGTTTTTCACTATAAATCCTTTATATGCGTGGCAGCGAACTTAATATAAAGGATTAAAAAATATATTCGCCTGTGGAGGACGCGGGGATCGATCCCGCGACCTTTGGCATGGGAAGCGAGGGCGCTACCAACTACGCTACTCCGCCACGGCCTGTGGAGGGGTTACGCTCTGGGCTCCTATACTGTGACGTTCAGCCAAAGCGATGAATGAGTTCTATTTGAATATATGTAAAATAATTTTTTTTTGCCTAACAAGTGTAAAATTTTGGGAATTGTTTTTCACGAACATTAATTGTCTGGCACAACGAGTCTGTGTGGAAAATGTCAGCTCGATTGGATCACGGGAAGTGGGTTAAAAAACGACCGAAAGATTTGCACGGTCGTAAGCAAGCAAGCAAGCACGCAAGCAAGCAAGCATGCGAACTTAATATAAAGGATTTAATAAAACAATACAAATTCTCACGACGTTTCGACTGCAACACAAGCAATCATCAGCAGGTGTGAAATTTTCTTGCTGTGGATTTCACACCTGATGCTGATTGCTTGTGTTGCAGTCGAAACGGCGTGAGAATTTTTATTGTTTTATATTTTTATTATTTTATTATTTCCCTTCTACGTGACTTTACCGAAAGAACCAATAATATGAATCCCTGCAGTCACGAAAGCTTTAAATCAAAGTTTATACATGACATGCATACACACGGCAGTGGTTTGACAATGGGCTGTACATGACAAGTCATTATTAAACACAAGTACAAATACAAAGATCCCCCTCATAGCCTTAACAGGCTGTTGAGGCAAGTGCTGTTAGCAAGCACATATGAAGGCTGACATGGCACGCGAGGAGGTGGGTGGCCAGCACCACGCCCAGCCACGCTTTGTCTCCCCAGTGGCGATGTTTACACATAAGTATCACACTTGCGCACATGCCGGCTTTTCTTAACACAGAGGTGGTTGTTGTTGTTGTTTTTACCCCCAAAACGTGTGAATATTCACGATATTATTGCTTGCGCATTCGTGTGTGTCCAATTGCCTCTCCATTCAGTTCGCGAATCTCATCAAAAGGTCCGAGGGCCACAAATTACGGAAGGCGCTGCTGCAGATCTCGGTGGCAGGAGTGCGACTTCTGGACTGCAAAACGAAGGCATGGCATAGGGTCGTGAGTCAGCTTTACCAGAGATGGAGTCGCTCTGGCACTGATAAATTGGCCCTGAAAGTTTCGTCAGCCGCAGAATAAAAACAAATGATTGCGGTGATGAATAGATTTTCTTCAGCTTCAGCATTTGCTTCCACAGCGGAGGCAATCTAGACTTGAGGCAAATTTATGTTTTGGGGGAAAAGAGGGAAAAAACGATTTGCGGAAATTGTGCCAAAAGTCAAATGCGACTTTTCTAGATTAGTTGGGAAAATATATGTTTCTGTCTTTCAAAAGTGAGTAGCAAGAATACAAATGTAAAATGTCTCGTAATTTACAGTGATGCTACACTTTACTCTGCATTAAGAAGCGTGAATAGGTGCATGCTTGGAATTACATGCCGTCACATCTGCCTGCCCACCGTACCTTTCTTCATTATAGACAACTTGCAGCTCAGCACACGGCAGATGCCTGCGCAGGGCGACTCACGACCTCTTGATACCAAGATCCAGGATGGTCACGGCTATGCGCCGCTTCTCGGTGGCAGCCCCAACAGTCTGGAACGATATCCCTCTGCACATTCGCAGCATCACCTCAATCGCCTCCTTCAAGAGAGACTTAAACACTCACCTCTATAACCACGCTTTCGAGCGACTCTGAGCTTGGCTCCGCGCCTCTGAGTTGCGGGCCGTTACGTCCGCAAATTTGCGCGCGTTACAAATTGCATTATTATTATTAATACTCATTAATTGGCTGAAAACATCAATATATATAGGACAGCAGAGATTGGGCAATTATTGGTGCTGGCTCACCACATGGCTTCCTTCCATATTGTCTGTGGATTCATCAGTGATAGTGAGATGCAATTTGCATGAACGGCGCTCCATGAAACGAAACATTATTATATCGTAATTATTTTGAGAGACAAAAAAGTTGGGCCTGCACACGGCGCATCGTGGCTTAAAGGGATGATGGACGATGGTCAAGAATAATAACGGAGTGGTAAACAAGAATTGGAGTTTTCCGAGACTATGTCAACCAAGGGGACGGAGCGATGAAATCAGCTGATATGCAAGTGCTGGGTGGATGTTTGCAATACAGGGTTCCGAGAGGTGGCAGCGGGCTTGGCAATGCTTTCATCCAGCAGTAGATTGGCTCTGGCTGATGATCATAATTGAACAAAGACTAAATTGCTTTAAACGTCTTCAGATATGTTTGCTCTCTTTCATAAAAAAAAATCAACAGTAAAAAAAATCCACGCTCTATATATACCTACGCTCGGTGTACACTATGCTGAGTGCGGCCATGTGGTTGTTACGTGTGTGTTTGTCTTTTTAGGAAATTCTACATAGCTGCCCACTTGAACGAATTTCCTTCTGCGCACACCATGAGGCCGACCGTCACGTGTGCACTTTCATTTGCAAGAATGTACAATGGAAAAAGCACATGTGCTTTGCACTGGAGGGTGAAAAATGTGTACGTACTGGTCCACTTAGGCTCCATAAATACGCCACTTCTGCTTGAGCAGCCATTACCCACAACTAATAGTATATTCACGCATGTGTACTGAACTGTGTGTGTGTATGTATATAGTGTGGAGCGCAAGTGTAGCAGTTATCGCGCTATTCTACGAACCCGGCGACCCGAGTTTTATTCCTGCTCATGGCCAACATCAGTGACGATTATCTGAACCGGTCCTGGGACTTTTCTAAGTCGACTCAGCCTCAAATGAGTACCTGGTGCAGTGTGCAAACATCGCCAATAGGGAGACAAAAGCGGCCGGGCGTGTGGCTGACCACTCACCCCCTCGTGTGCCGTGCCGGCCTTAATAGATGCACGCTAACAGCACTTGCCCCAACAAGTGTAGGGTGATCTTTGTCTTGATATATGTGCGATACTGGTGTACGCGGTGTAATTGTAAAGCGCACTGAATCCAGGCGTCAGACTCGCAGTTGAAATAACAATGCAAGTTTCTTAAATCCTCGTTCCCATGTCCACAGTCTACCGGCAGATCAATTATTGTTTACCATTGTTTACCATAGTATTAATGGTTCTTTCGGTAAAGTCACGTAAAAGGGAAATAATAAAATAATAATAAAAATAAAACTATAAAATTCTCACGATTTTTTTTTTCCTTCTACGTGACTTTACCGAAAGAACCAATAATATGAATCCCTGCAGTTACGAAAGCTTTAAATCAAAATTGTTTACCATGCTACGGCTCCACTGACTTGCAATAGTGCCGTCATCATTACTGCCATCATCACCACTCGAGGTCACGCTCGTGTCAAATAAGTTTCGTGCGTCCAAACAGGGGCCCACGTTTCATCTGCCCGTTCAAATAAAAGGACACTGGCTCTGATCGCGCTCATGTCTTTTTATAATTGGGGGGCCACAGGCAGAGAAGGTGACTCTGACGATCGGGCAGGCTTTCGACCTGGCTTATCTGAGCATCCTGAAGTCCCAAGGGCGTGACGTCGAGGCTCGGCAGCACGTGGCGACTTTGGTGAAACGGGTGAGATCCCATTTGCTGCTGCTGCTGCTGCTTGATGGCATTGCGAAAGCACAACCAATGCAACGGGGTCAGCGCTCATTCGCTCGCTCGCAGACAGCCTGCGTGGCAAATACGAAAGACAAAACAAGCGGTCGAAATTTACACCATTGGAACCTCATCTGCCAGTAAAAAATATGATAATTGGTTTTTTACCTTTCTATCTGGCAACAAAACTGACAACAAAAAAAGGCGTCAGTTTTGTTGCCAGATAGAAGGGTAAAAAACCAATTATCAAGCGTCGAAATGTTAAGCCGGGGGGGATCGATTTTATTGGACAATTGGGAAGCGAGTTTTGTTTTAGAGACGCCGCTATAGTCTACGCAGCACCGGGCCTTCACGGTAAACTTTGGAAATTGCTTCAAAACAAATCGGATGAGGACACGTGTTGTAGAGTACAAGCTGGATATAAACATATACGCACACCTTGTATATATATAAAAGCCAATTTTGGTATAAGAAACACATCCTTATGTTATACTGGTGCGAGGGAAGGCGAAGAACAACCTCTAATACAAGCACACTACAGATATAAGCACAATATCCAGCTGATATCCAGCTTCAACTGTATCATAATGAAAGTTGTTGTAAATGTTTTGTTGCATTTCACTTTTCACCATTCTAATAATTTAAAGGCAACACATATAAACCCATTGACTGTGATTAGCTATTTGGATTCATTACATTAGCAGAGGACATATTTTTATATGTTTAATTATAAACTCGTTCTGGTAAATTAATGATGCCCTTCACTAATTCAGAAAGGCCTTGTTGAGTCTCAAGACGTTTTCAGGGATGTCGTGAAAAGGGCGGTTTGGCCAATTCTATTAATCAGTGTCTGGCACAAGTGAGGAAACTTGCAGCGTCCAGAGCAATAATTCTACTTTAATTTTGTACAGCGTCATTGTACGTAGCCAACCATGGCTATTCCGAGGTGTGGGGGAAAGACAAGCAGCCAAACCCAAAAAGCAGTTTTAATCAAATTAGTTTTCAATCTAGTCGATTTAAAAGTTTCATAGCTCCAGTGGTCTAATATTGCAAGGAAGAGCGTCTGTAATTTTCAGCCAGTTTCACATCCGCATCCCTAACCAGGCTTAGCTACCGAGATCTAACAAGATTTGGCACATTCAAGGTGATTAGTTTGTAGTTTTCCAATGCAATTGACATTTATTCGTTATGTGCCTCTTCAGATTTCTGGGCTGGAAATGGAAAATACGGATCTGAGAACTAAGTTGGAAGAGATAATGGAGAGAGTGAATGGTCCAAACAATGACTTCTCAATGAGTGTAAGTGACAGCATTTGAATAGCACAGCTGACTTCCCTTTAGTCGCCTTAATTATGCAAAGTTTGATTCTTTAATTGACATTAAGTATCTTTCTCGCTCTCTCTCTCTCTTTATGAGTCGCGTTCCGTGGGGTGCTCACAGTTCGCCCTTTAAGTTGCACTAAGCGATTGTGGTAGTTTGCATCATCGTCACGACGCAGAGCTTCCAATTTCAAGTAATGAAGGACTATTCATGCCGCCATTATAAAAAATATATATACACATATATAGGCTGATTATAAAGTCCTTGCCTGGGTATAAAGTAACGTGTCTTCACGACGAACACTGGTACACATTTGGAATATGCCCTATTATGTCGGGAAGATCAACAATGTCACTTCCGATTAGTTACGTACGGTGCGAAAAAAGTTCACACATACACGCGTACATTTCACTCTTCTTCACTTCAACTATTTATTGTAATTGCAAGGCCAGGCTGAGGATCCACGACCCATTAAACTTGAGAATCCGGTTTAATAACAAATGCCTAAATCTTGGACTCGGACTCAGGTTCTCAGCCGTGCTGGTTCATTGCTCCGAACCCCAAAACACATGGCCATTGATACCAAACAAAGAAGCCATACATTTTACAATATATTAAACATTTACACGGACAAAACATTTTTTTAAGTATGCACGATATAAGATTTTTACAACCCTTTGTTAATCCACTGCTGGATGAAGGAACCTCTCACACTGCTGTATCAGTCACGGGGATCGTTTGTATTACTTCGCCACGCTGATTCGTGTGGGTCGTTGAAGTGCTTGGCTCTGGTCCGGTTGAGATATCAATCACCGATGACGGTCAGCCATTGCTGGGTCCCAACTCGGTATAAATACAGGCGATTATGAATGCATATGTGCATACCTCCGCACGTGAGGCTGCTGGGGATTGGGTTTCCAGAGGAAAGAGAGTATGGTTTCCTTAACGATTGTTATTTCCTCAAATATGTGTGACCTTTCTAGTCCTCCTAATAGCTCCCCTTTAGTAATGCACTGTATCACACCGGGGTATTCTGAACAGTTTTGGCATTTGCTGACTTGCTACCGTGCACAAGTGCTGGGAGATAGAATACAATTTTTTTTTACGTTTTTATGGTTCAAATTATGATGTAAACCCATCTTTCTGTCGCGGGATGCGTACTATATGCGCACGCTCGATCTACTAGGGCCTCCACGTGTCGTGTGGATCGTGGGGTTTTATTTGACCATACTTCACCACTTACGGCCAGCGTGGATCGGTGGAGGGGTGGAGAGCATAGACGTCAACGCACAGTGCAGTACAACGAAGACTGTGGTCGCACCGCCCTCTGCCGTGCTCCCACGTAGGCGCGCAGCAGCCTAAAACAACCTGGCGTGCGTGTTGGCCAACCCTTCCAATTGCCATGTCCAGGCTCGGGTCCTGCTGAGCTTCTAAAAGCTGATGAGGTCCGTTGCATTCCAGGCCAACTGGTCATAAGCATGATATATACACGTGCATAAAGTCTTCATGTATTGTACAATACAAGCACTACTACTACTACTAGTGTGTATTTGTGTGTTGTGGTCTTTCGCCAATCAACTTTTGTACGAGACATTCCCCATGACAGATCGGTCATAGGAGTTGCTTGGTCCATACTTCACGACACTGGTCAGGACAAGATAAATGGATATAACTCGCTAATGACATTTTATCCATGGCCAGGACCGCAATTTTAATAAACGTTGAGTTTAGAAATTCCATCGAAAATGTTTTTGTACAATTTCAAAACGTTTCGTTACGATAAAAAAATGTCTGAAGGGCGAAATTTTTCAGAGGTAAAGTTCGAATCAAGACAGTGTTCACGTAGACTGTGAACTCAAACTGCTAGTGACACCTTGTGGCCTGGATGCAAATTTGAATAATCATTGGCCATGTGGATTCCTATTTTAATAGTTAAAAAAAATATCTAATTAATATATTTAAAAAAAATTATATGAAAGAAAACGTATCCCAAGGTTAGAGCCACAAAAGTTTAACTTATAGAGCACGGTTGGTTACGTACGGTGTGAAAGAAGTTCAACATACATACAAGTAAAGAAGGCCATAAGGAAACTGTGTTTTGTAAGAGATACCACGAGGAGTGAACTCTGGGTATGTTGCTTGTACCTCACTGGGCAGCTTGGCATATTTTAAATTGCCAGTAAGTAATCTCATTGCTTACTTTTTAACTTCGCCTTTGATTGTGTTGTTTAGGGTCCTGCCAGCATTCATCAAAACGCGAGCCACACACCACCATTGGCTTGGATGTGGATCGGAGGTGAGTGTCAGAGAAATAGCCCACGAGCCTTTGAATAGCCACTATGCACGATACAGCCCTCAAATACGTTTTCGAGTTGTCCCGCATATAATTCGACACGATGTCCGACGTTTCGCTCGATTTTCATGAGCGGCGGGACATCACGTCGAGCAACGCAGCGGCACACAATCTGAAACTCCATCAGAGAGTTTGCAGCACGATCGCAAAAACACATGCCATAGGATTTAATCTGATTCCAAATGGTTGAAAGGTCTTTCTCAACGATGCAGCCAGGAGTTGATTTAGCCACACACTCGATTGAGATCTCTGAGATCCACCGATCGTGCCTCCACCCCTACTCAGCGTAGCCGCGCTCCAGGCTTCGAACCCTGGGGTGACCACGTGACTTTTGTCCCCACGGTGCCAATGGAGGTCAGGGAACTCGCAATTGACAGGAAACTTTTTAAATCCCGGCTGAAGATCCCACCAGCTGTTACCCCCCCCCACCTCTCTCTCGTTCTCTATCTGGTCTGTTGAGTCTTTCTCTCCCGGCTCTGAGATTATTGTTTATTGCGCTCCACTGCAGGGAGATTATGTTTGATTCACTGGCGAATGGAGTCATATAATTTAAGTCTTTAGCATGAGACTGCAATATAGAACGTTCGGCTGACACTGCCTTATGAGTAAAAACAATCGACCCCTGTATTATCTAGGGCCCACGTTTCCAAGGTGAAAGCATAACATTTTGTCATACATAATTTGTGCCGACTTTCAGATTTCTATCCCTTGCAAGTCATCATTAAAATGTACGTCCATAAGTCATAATTATTTGATTTGAAGCTTCCGTGACTGCAGGAATTACTCTTTGGTTCTTTCGGTAAAGTCACGTAGAAAGAAAATATTATTTTTATGATTTTATTTATTTTATTTCTACATGACTTTACCGAAAGAACCAGGTCTGTCGGGGAGACAGCGTCTGACCTGGTCTTCACCTGAGGACGGCTGCTTGCGTTGTGGCCGAAACGTCGTGAGAATTATTTAATTATGTTTTATTTTTATTATTTTATTATTTCCCTTCTACATGACTTTACCTAAAGAACCAAGAAGATGAATCCCTGCAGTCACGAAAGCTTTAAATCGAAACCAAAGAGTCGTAATTATTTATGTGTTCAGTAGTTATCTACATTAAAGCATATTCAGTACTGTTGTTGAAAACTCAAAGAAGCAAACATAGTTATTTAGCCTCTTTACTTGTGGATAATAAGACAAAATAATTTGAACCTTTTGGTAATTCCATTACTGAAGGATGGTTTGCCCATACTATGTGGTCTTGGGGATAGTTTGGTCATACTTCACCAAGTGGGTCAGTGCGTGTTGTTGATGGGAGGTGCCCAAGACTGGTTCAGATATTACTCGTCACTGATGTAATCCCTGGTCGGTAATCGGAATCAGAGATACGGGTTTCACAATGCAGTGTCCTAACCACTGTGGCATCACTCCACCACGTGACCTGTATTAAAATGTAGTCGTCAACCATTGCAGCCTTTGCAAAGAAATATAATGCTACATCACCTGTGTCATTGAAGATGATCACATAGGTTAATTAAATATTTGAGGGTGTGTGGTTTGGAACTAAAATAGACGACTTTCAATTATGGAGAACAATGTAATCAATTTTATTGTATTTCTTTTAAACGCAATGATCTTTTCGGATCAGATTCAGCTGGGGCGATGAGTGATCAAGCAGAAGGGTTACCCACCAATACAGATGCAAGCTTTTTGGAAATGCAGGCAAGTGACAACCACTGTGTATCTGATACCACAGCACAATGCATAATTCAGCACACATCTAGACTCCACATGACACATTTAATAATCATTAAATAGGAACCTTTCGGCCAAGATTAACCGTGCAAATTTAACGGCAACCACAGACCTGTGCAGACCTTGACCATTCCATCACTGTGCATTTTACGCACATTTCACATCATTCGGCTTGCCAAGCTTTCCCATGTTTATTTTCAATTCCATACTTTTGGCAGAAAATGCAATTTATAGCTTCCCCATAAAATTGAATTGATTTCATCATCATCATCATCACAATGAGCCACAATCCAATGGGTGAAGGCCTCCCACTGCTATCGTCATTTCTCATGGTCTCGTTATCAAAAAATACATCTAGCTTCTGTGCACGAGCTGATTTCATTGCTCCATCTCCACGGTGAATGGGCCCCTCTGGTGAATTCCCACCTTTCGCCACCACTTTGTCGTGAGTCTCGCCCGCCGGTTATCCTCGATCCTCGCTTCCATCGACTTCTGATCCCAGTGGGGCCATCTCGGTCTCTCAGGTACCAATGCCAAGCAAGCAGCTCTGCATAATTCTTTGTGCACACTGCAGCTCTCTCTTTGCCAATTTCCATATTTCTTATGCAGATGTCATAGCAGGTAATATACGCTGATTATGAACGAGAATAAAGAGGTAAATTAAAAACAAGTTTGGAGATGTTTTAAACAATGCAAATCGATGTTCCAGTTTATTTAATGTCTTACATTGATTAAATTCTGTGTTATGGAGAAATTAAATTAGCATCTTCAGTTTACGAGGATATTCACTTGGAGGCATGAATCCAAGCCTATAAAACAACATCTACAACATTGTATCTACACTAATTTACAGCCCTTTGTCAATGCACTGCTAGATTAAGGTCTCCCCACGCTGTGTTAGACATGGGGATTTGTGACCGTACTTCCCCATGCTGGTGTGGCTTGGTGAAGCGGCGAGTGGGGCAAGGGGGGACAGAACTGCTTCAGACATCAACCCATGACAGTTGCACGGCTATGGCTGAGAATCGCGCTGAGGTTGGCGGATTCAGTGTGCTGCACTCACCATTTCGCTGCGCCAGATTACAGTCAGGTCGCAACTCATTTGCACACGAAGTGCTTGCTACAAATGAACCACGATACTTTGATTATCTCGTCAAGGAGCATGAAGCGTCACGCGAACTCCGGCCATCCTCGCAACAGCTCGCCATCGTATTCTTAGGTTTTTTTCGGTAAAGTCACGTAGGTAAAAATTTTAAATTAATACAAGTAAAATAAAAATAACATAAAAATCACGACGTTTCGGAGGCAACACAAGCTTCCGTCTTCAGGTGGAAGCACGTGTTGTGACGGTTCCACCTGAAGACGGAAGCTTGTGTTGCCTCCGAAACGTCGTGATTTTTTTATTTTATTTTACTTTTATTAATTTTAATTTTTTACCTACGTGACTTTACCGAAAAAACCTAAGAATATGAATCCTTGCAGTCACGAAAGCTTCAAATCTAGCTCGCCATCGAACAAAGACGGTCACTGTATCGTGTGCTTTTATATGCCCTTCTGTGGCCGTCTGGAACGCCCCTCCTTCCGCTATTAGGAAGCCACTGGAGCTATGCACTTTTAAATCATCTGGATTAAAAACTGATTTCTTTCGAATTGATTTGTTGTGTTTAATTTTCGATTTAAAGCTTTCGTGACTGCAGGGATTCATCTTCTTGGTTCTTTCGGTAAAGTCACGTAGAAGGGAAGTAATAAAATAATAAAAATAATAAAATAATTATCACGACGTTTCGGCCACAACGCAAGCAGCCGTCCTCAGGTGAAGACCAGGTCTGTCGTGGAGACAGCGTCTGAATGAAACACCACCACGCTTGGAGCGTATATTTAAGCTGCGTTGGAAGGGGGGAAGTGCGCCTTGACAAAAGAATTTTCATATCAAGAGGAATTTAGCATATTTGTTGTTATGAAGAAGAATTTAGCATATTTGTTGTGTTTAGTTGGCTACGCACGGTGTGAAAGAAGTGCAACACACATGCATGCGACGCTCGTGAAATTGTTCCTCATGTCGATGTTATTTTTGTAGGGAGTCACGCACATTAAACAAGGAGTGGATCAAGCTCTGCTCTGTGACCTGCTGGACAGCCAATGCTAATCCTGTGCCTTTGCGTGTGATCAAAATGCTGCAAGTCGCTCACAGGATTGGCAATGAACTATCAGTCAGAGTGTAAACTTGCGCTATTAACCATCGTAGTGTTTGAGCATTTTCTGTTAGTTTTCACACTACTCTGACTCGTCTAATTTAATACACTTTCACTAAGCGCAACACTTGTGTGATCGAACTTGCTGCCTACAATCTTGTAAGTTAATTTATACTTTTATTCAGGAGCTTCTCTAGAATTGTGGGGTGTGGTAGTGTAACAGTTGGGACACTGCACACTAAGCCCTGCGAACTTGATGAATTGTCCCATTGGAAATGGATTTTTTTCAATAAAATTGCGGTGAGTGTAGCGGCCCCTAGTGGCTGTATGGGTCACGTAAGCTCATTAGATACAACATACACACAAATCAATATACCTCGATTATTTTGAACACGATTAAATGGATGTATGGTGAACTTCAAACTCCACGCTAATGCATAGATGCATTCATCGTTAAACACCTATTATTTAGACGTATGTAATACTCTGTAAACAAACAAAACAGTTCCTCATGTTGAAATGTTGTGTAATATAGCACTATACTAGCTAAATGAGATATCCCACAATATGATAATTTTATGTTATTTGAACTGGATTAACTTACCATATTGTTTCAGTGCAGATAAATACAATACTATCTCACGCAGCGTTTAATAACATGAAACACAGTTTCTGAGCACCCAGATAGACATGTAAAGGCCATTTAATATATCTGTACTTGAGTTATCTTATACACACTTTATCATGGGTTATTAAACATCGGTATAATTTTGAAATCTGAGTACGGTATTAAAATTCTACATGCAGAATATAATCTCGTGGTCCATGCTTTAAAAATATTGATAATGTGTTGGGGATCTTAATTCAAATATTGCATTGTAGCATGCACCATAAATCATTGTGTGTTCAGTCAATAAACTGTTGATGTTCAAATAAGCCTTGATTTTGCGTAATTTTTTCTCCATTGAAAATCTTTCATACGAGTAAATGGCAACGTGAGGAAAATGAAATACTGTCATAATGAGATGCATTATTAGAATCATAACGGTGCCCCAGGCCACTTTGGAAATTAAGCTATCCTGGTCTCACGAGTTCTCATGTGGTTAAACGAAATACACATGGAACTTGAAGAAATACAATCTACCCACCTCTCAAACAGCGATTCTATCAGCATGTGTTCATTAAGGCGCAGCCTTGCAAATTTTTTGCTTTCCCACGCCACAGCAGTCAGAGGGGCGGCCTTCACTCGAGGGAGGTTTGGAGAGTATCTGCATGTCCCATTTGGCCTACTCGTCTATCCTGGCCAGACGTTTTTAAAAAGGCAGGAGTACTCGGACATCCGATTAGCACGGTTGGCTCTGTCGGATGCGAAAGAAGTTCAAGAAACGTATGTCTTCGCAATCTAATCCACCGCACGCATCCTGCCGATCGTCTCACTGCCGTGCACCCATTTATACGGCGGTGTATTGCAGTACAGCACCGTGCACACTCTGAACAAGACAAAGCTGCAGCCCTGCAAGTAACCTCCCGCTACATTGACGAGAGGCGAGGTGACTGAAGAAACGCGCCCGTTGTTACAACTGCAGCACCGGGTGATCGAATCGAACGGACACGAACTCAGGATTGCACCAGGGCAGCATATCACAAAGCGCGTCTTGTCGATAAAAAAAAACAACTCCCATTTAGACAACTGCTTGGCCAATGATGTGTCGTCAAAATAAAAATAAATGCTGTACTTTGTTGCATTTCGTCACATTGCCGAGGAAGCATAATTGTGCTTACTAACTGTTCATTGGCTATCAACGAGCAGTTCCATTTCATAACGCATCCTGCAGTTTGTTTTATATAGTCTTGGCAAATGTGCTCTATTTCGTCCGATGAATTTTGGGCAGACAGGAAAATAACCTATTTCGACAGCTTACTTCCACATTCAACAATGAAGAGTTCCGATTAACTCGCCACGACTGCGTTTTGCAAATTCCCCAAGGATATTGTGAATTTCACGAATCACAGAATTCATTCATAACAGTAATGACGTGAAATCGACAAGAATTGCAGCTACACTTCAACAAGCAAGCCAACTTGAACTGGAATACTCATGCAGCAATAACTCCAATAGTACAATACCGTACTGTACTCTAAGCGAATATTAAAGGCGCAGCCCTGCAATTGCCTTCTCACACCACTGCTGGCGGAAGGGTCCTCCACTAGAGAGCTCTCGAGAGGGGATTTTGGCCTACTCTTCTACGCCGGTCAGACTGCATCAGAAGAGGTGGAAGTGCCCACACTATGTCTGCCGTTTGACTGTTGTACCGATTTACACTGATGGGTGGACATAGCGCGAGAAACAGATGGGTGATTAATTTAAATAAAACGTTATTTTAACCACCGCACTCTTTGGTTTTAAAATGTTTAAAATGTATTAAATCATGACGTTTCGGAGGCAACACAAGCTTCCGTCTTTCGTAGGAACCGTCACAGCAAAATTATTGTATCAAGTGAAGAGAGCTCAAATTTTTACCTACGTGACTTTACCGATAAAACCAAAGAGTATGAATCCTTGCAGTCACGAAAACTTAAAATCTAGAATTTAACCACCACATATCTGGAGATCGAATTGAACTGGCGTCTCTTGGATTATCCAAGTCAATTTCTGCAAATTATTGCATCGCACCAGCACCCCAAATATTTAATAATACTGTATTTTACAGGATTTATTATGAATGATTTTACTTCTAGATTAACAAAAATGTTGGGTAGTGCCACTTGCTGAATGGTGAAAAAAAAAAACCACCCGGGACACGTCATCGCGGGTGGTGTGGTAGAGCGAGTGAGTGAACGCAGAGAGAGAGAGAGGAGTGTGTGAGTGAGAGAGAGAGAGCGAGCAATGCTTCTGTGGGATGCTCCGGCACACATGGTGATACAGAACTCGGCACTTGGCATAGCGTTCACAGCGTACGCTTTAGAGGCGGTATGACAATGTCTTCACTCCTGAATGGTGTAAAACTGGGTCACGTTAATTCATGGGCAATTTTGCGGCGGGTGTCCTGCCTCTTACGACGTTAATTACCTCGGACCTTTTGCGCTGTGTTCTGGAAATGACACACGATTGCAATGTTTGACGTAACTATGCTATGCTCCAATTAATTCACGAATCACTCGGTTTTTTTTCAATTAGCCCTACTTTCAGCGTGATTACTAAACTAATGGAAACACGCCATTCGCTACAGTTCAGCAGAAACAGTATTGTAATAAACACAGACCCGTGTATTAACGCGATAGATTAAATACATACTTCATTTGAGTACCCTTAATTGTAGCCGAGCGCGTTGAATACAGATAATTTCTAAAAGAGTCTCAGAATTAAGGTAATGTATAGTTTTACTTTGTCTTGCCGAAGACGGCTCGGTTTAAAATATACGTACCAAACATATCCAAATAAACGACTGCACAGTTATATGATGCCATACCTGCATACGTGTTTCGGGTCGAGATTTTATCGCCACTGAGACGTACCATGTCATACAAGGCCCTTATCTTCTTGGTTCTTTCGGTAAAGTCACGTAGAATGGAAATAATAAAATAATAAAAATAAAACATAAGAAAATAATTCTCACGACGTTTCGGCCACAACGCAAGCAGCCGTTTCCGTTCTTGTATGACATGGTACGTCTCAGTGGCGATAAAATCTCGACCCGAAACACGTATGCAGGTATGGCATCATATAACTGCAGTCACGAAAGCTTTAAATCGAAACAAGGCCCTTAGTTTAATGGTCAGCGCACTGCAGTAGGGGGCTCACCATCCACAAGTCACCAGTCCCATCCGATTTCCCGGCTAGGCAGTTTGAACGACCAATTTTTTGTATTAACTCCCCATCTCCCCCCCCCCCCCCACCGCTTTTATCCACACAGTCGATCGGCAAGTCGTGTGCGGTGGGGTAATCATGCGGGTTACCCCCCCCCACCCTCTTCCAAGCCAGTGTGCAAGAGCAGACCAGACAATACCCTCCTCAAGGGGCTCGAGAGAGAGAGAGGCTCACGAGAGCGACGATCGAGGGCTCTTCCCTGAGAGATCTCCCCGGCGGAGGGCATTCCACCAGCAGTGGCTTAAGCAAGCAATTGCAGGGCTGCACCTTGACCTTTAACCCTTGCATGCAAGCTCCCAGCCGTATTCGTCAAGGGACTTGGCGCAATACGTCAGACGCATTTGACGCACGCATATGGATGTGTGCATGTTGAACTTCCTTCGCACCGTACGTAGCCAAGCGTGCTCATTGGAAGGGTGCGGGACGACATCCAAAAAGCCGCGCGATGGAAGGATGCACGCGACTGTTGTATTCACACACACACAGCAAGCATAACCACCGAGACAACCTGGTCATCCAAAGCACAAGCAATTGCTGTGATGCACAGTATTTATACAAATCTAGCAGGGATTTGCCCCAAAAAGACGACAGCGCCGTCGGGTTGCCGGCTGCTCTTTCAAGAGAGAGGAAGCGGGGAATGTAGGCTGGCGATGTGCCGACGTTTGCCACAAGCAAACAATCGAAAGGCGGGAAAAAAAGCTCACACACAGTAGGTGCTACATTCTTTACATTGCGAGTATCGCCTTGCCCGCCCGCCTCCACCACCACCACTCCAGGGCACGTTCTTGTCGAGTAAACTACAAAGGTTTGAGGGTACATATTTCTCACGTTCACCCCGTGTGCATTTGAGAGAGGGAGACACAAAGCGACCCCCGATAATCTACTTTTTTCATTTCTCTCCCAACAAAGCTTTGTGAGGAAATAGGATGTATTGATGGGGTCCCGGGATTAAACAACAATTTGTGATGACACGGCTGATATTTCTTGGCTGGTCGATAACTTGTTTAAGTTTGACACGTTTCTTCCGTATGTACCTGTTTGCTCCTCTGACAAAATCGGAAGCGAAGCAGAGTCGAGCCTGAATAGTTGCTTGAATGGGTGACCGATCGACAAGAATTAAAGAAACCTCCAACAGGTGTTATAGGCTTCGATTTAAAGCTTTCGTGACTGCAGGGATTCATCGTCTTGGTTCTTTCGGTAGCACGTAGAAGGGACATAATAAAATAATAAAAATAAACATAATAAAATAACTTATTATGTTTTTTTAATAGAATACATTTTTATGTTTTATTTTTATTGCTTTATTATTTCCCTTCTACGTGACTTTACCGAAAGAACCAAGAAGAGGTGTTATAGGCTTCTGCTGCGGGGCTGCAGGTGGCAGTGCAGCGACATCTGTTGTTGTACCGTACTGTGCTATGCTCCCACGTCACCCCCACCTTCACAGACCAGCAACTGCTTGACCAGCGTGGTGAGGTATAGTCAAATAACCTCCAGGATACGGAGGGAAGAGGCCTCGTGCAGCAGTGGATAGAAATAAGGGGCTATAAATGTATTCTTAGGTTTTTTCGGTAAAGTCACGTAGGTAAAACATTACAATGAATAAAAGTAAAATAAAATAAAAATCACGACGTTTCGGAGGCAACACAAGCTTCCGTCTTCAGGTGGAACCGTCACAGCCACAATGCACAGCCACAACAGCTGTATCTCAATTACTAGATATCTCAATCACTTGATACAGCTGTCGTGGCTGTGACGGTTCCACCTGAAGACGGAAGCTTGTGTTGCCTCCGAAACGTCGTGATTTTTTATTTTATTTTACTTTTATTAATTTTAAAGTTTTACCTACGTGACTTTACCGAAAAAACCTAAGAATATGAATCCTTGCAGTCACGAAAGCTTCAAATCTAGGGCTATAAATGATGCCTAACATTTATAACATTAAAATACGACGTTCGATCCTGCATTTTTTTTTTCTGTAATTATTATTTTCTTGTTTAATCAGACA